GGATGCAATTCCCCATCAACACACTCACAGTATAATCTAAAGGCAGGGTCCCATTAGGCGCATTCACACTGCGGTACTTTTCCCACAAAGGTTCATGTGAACTTAGTTCATGTGAACTCTTTTATCGCGTTCACACCAAAAAGAGCCGGTACTAAAATGAGTTCATGTGAACCTTTTTACCCCCACGAAAGTCCCTGCTAGAGAGCAGGGACTTTCGTGCGGCTCTCTTGTGAGAAAAGAGCTATATTTCTGATTGGCTGGGCGGATTGCAAACCACGCCCCGTAAAACTCCCAAAAAGTTTTGTGAAGCCGCCATTTTATTATCCTCGCATTAGCATTATTAGCATTAGCATTAGCCCAGCGCAGAAACGCAGAGAGACTAATTTATGGCAACACAAAATAAAACATGGGAGCGGTGGAGATGAGGAGGTGTCGGCGTTCTGGCGATTTACTCGGAAGGCTTCAGTAGAAGCTGCTGGGAGTCCCAGCAGCTTCTACTGAAGCCAGTCCCTAACTCCGGGGACTTCCGGCCGGGGACTTTGGGCGGCAGTATACGCCGTGAAGTGGTTTGCGGCCTGCCAGTAAACCCAAAGCAGAAGAAGAACAAGTGACGTCAGCGGCTTCATTTGCCTAATCCACCCCCAGGGACTTTTTCCAGTGTGAACGCGATCTGTACTTAGTTCATGCGAACTAAAGAGTTCACATGAACTAAGTTCACATGAACCTTGTGGGAAAAGTACCGCAGTGTGAATGCGCCTATAGAGACAAGACAGGATCTTATTGCCTCTGTGCCAACGACAAGCTATCTGATCCGAGGTTAGTGTCAGTAACCTCAGTGCTCTGGAGTGAATGTGAGCCGTCCATTACTCTCTGCGAGGTGTCTGGTTGGAAAACTTGTGATTGAAGCTAGACTGATATATAGGGCAGGCTTTAAATTAGATATCATTATATCAATGTAAGCATTCAAGCATGCATAATACCAGATGAGCATTCCTGACAGAGCTTGATGCTTAAAATAGAAAAACTAAGCTTCATAAATGATTCAAATTGAATTTTAATTTAAAAGATGTTTTCTTTCTATTTAGGCACCCACCATGTTCCCGTCACTGAATGAATAAGGTTTGGTCAGAATATCAATCATGAGTTACTCAACATTGCGGGCTCACATAGTTTAGTGGAATTAAGCTATCCAAAAAAATCGGATTGAATACAGTGTATATAACCTGAGACTCAAAATGCTGTTTTAGATCCATGCAGGTTTTCTAAAAGATTTTCAAAATGTTTCCATGACTTTTCGAGGACCGATTATCAAAATGACCATGACCATTTGCATCATATAATTACACATCAGAACGGCATGGTATATTGTATTTCAAATCCTAACTGTTTAAAACATATCCTGCAAACTTCTCACATTTCTTATAGTCAGTTATGTTCCTATGTATTTAAAATACTGTAAACTAAAAGCAGATTCCCTTTATTATCAAGAACCGAGTATCAAGCATAAGCTAAATTTAATCTGGTTATACTTCCAGTGTACAATTAGTGCACTTGATTACAAACTCATTTAGAATGAAAATCTGAGAAGCAATGCAGCACCACAAGTAGCCTACATAATGCATAATATTAAACATTTACTCAAATGTAATAACCACTTGCTCTACATTATTTAACATTTCAGATTAAAACCCCAAGTGAGATAACTGTAACAATTATTTATATTAAGCATAACAGAATTCCATGACATTTATTGGCCTGGAATATGAGTTTTAAAAATTCAATGACTCTCCCAAGCTTTCCATGACCGTGGGAACTTTTGTCCAAGGTTTCTGGTTCGAGCAGTGGGTGAAAATTAAAGCCCACCCCCCCCCAATGCCACAGGAATAAATCCTTAGGAAAACTGGATTACGTGTGTCACTGTCTACGTGATGGTCCTGTGTGTGTGAGAGAGCCAGAGAGCGAGTTGGATGCAGACTGCAGCTGGAGGCCAACAGCACACCAATTACCCAGCTGACCACAGCAAGGAGCCTGTAGCTCAAAGGTTAACGCAACATAAATTGATTTGACACACTACTAAAATGTTAAGGACAATGTTACCTCAGGCCACACCGCATACACTTACACACAAGCCTCTGTGTCCCAGTTATACGTGCAGAGAGACAGAAAAAGACACACATACACACAAACAGTGCCATGGGCCCCCTTGGAGCGCATTATATTACATTACCCCTGACATATCAAGTGATTTCATGCACCTAGAGGCAGGACAATCGAGCCATTTGTTCAGCGACTCAAAAATAACCTCCTCCTTCCTTGCCGTCTACTATTACTACCATTACTACCACAACTACAGCACAGCTTGCGTCTGCACTGCTTTTTGGCTTTAGGGGGTCCCATAGGTCAAAAAGGACCACAATATTTCTTCAGAGGTCATTGTGGTTGTTGATCAGTACAAAAAATAGGTGATTTTCTTTTCGGGGGAGGGGGCCGCAGACGGAATTTAATGACTTTTGGAACAAAAACACTACGCACACAAGGAATTTAATATGGAGCGTTATTTAGTGTTGGATAAACAGGATAGTAGTAGCAGCAGTGTTACCATTCCTGTATGCTGTTCAGTGATATATATATATCTAACGGCAGCGCTCAATAAAGAGCAACACTGTTGAAGTGTGGTCAGGTTACTGCAACGTATAAAAGCAGTGAGGAAGAGAAGTGGCAGGATAAAGAAAAAACATTAAAACAGAGTTTTACAGGAGATTTGTTGAATAAAGCTTTGTCACTTCATCAACTCTTTATGATTAAATGTTGATACTTCCACAAAAAAGTAATAATCTTTGGTCAATCCTGCACAATAGTGACATATCAAAATCATTTAACATAGAAGCTCTGCCTCGAACATTTGTAAGAAAAAAAAGAATGTATGTCAATCCGGAAACAATTAGTCAACTCATGTAGGATTTAATGAACTTACATTTTGACTATTTAAATAATCAATAGTTGTTTGGTTTTCTTTTCCCCCAGCATTTCCACTTCATCAACTGTAACTAACACTTCCTCAGCTCTCACATTTAGCACAAATCAGTGACAAAGAAAAACAAAGAGCCTGAATCAGCTGACCCAAGTGGTTGGAAAGCAAGACCAGGAAGAGGATATGTGATATTGTTATCTGGCCCTACAGTTTCTCCCTACTTAAGTGAGCCAGACAGGTACTGTTAGTGTGCACACTTCCTGAAAACACATGTGTTTGAGTCTTTTTTGGGAAGAGTTTTGCGGTTACTGCAAATCCTGGTGGCCTGCAGGACTATTATAGCAGTCTGGGTAGTTTAAAAGGCTGTAGAAGCTTTTAAAAAACACATCTGGCCCAGACTGCTGCCACCTTAGACTGATAACCAGTCTCCAACTTCAGAGACGGCTGCGCCCGGCACTAGTTAATAGAAGCTTTAATCTGAGGTTATATGGAGTCAGGAGAGATAGATTAGAAAGGAAGACAAAAGGAGAAAGAGCCAGTGTCAGTTGCCCTGCGTGGACAACACACATGTAACCAGACCCTACAGCCACGGCCATGACCTCACCGGGTTTTTCCGCACACACACGTACACACACAGGGCACATAGCGGGGCCTTGGTTAGCATACAGTCAGCGGAGCCTGGCACAGCGAGAGTCGGCTCCCATTCAGAGAGTCATGCATTGTAATCCTACACAGTGTGATCACACAGTGGAGAATGCTAATCTAAACTAAAAAGGCAGGACACAAAGAAACAGCCGGGTGACTTGTTCCTGATGGGTGGAGCAGCGGATCAAATACATTTTGATCTCAGGTGGAAGAGTCAGCGCTAAGTTTCATAATAAGTTGAAATGTTTGGGGGTTACCAAAAGCTCTTTACACCCTGCGTCATACCGGTTATCAATGTAGAGTAGACATCTTTATTGTCCAACCATAAAATCATTCTAATGGAAACACAGCAGTTACGTGATGAAAAATGAAAAACACTTGCAACTGGACATTTTTGGGGGAACATTTGCAGGAAATAGGTTTCTATGTTTCCAGATCTAATGTCTGTTTCAATTGCACAAGAACACATTTGAAAGATGAAATGCCAGGATTTAAAGTATACCAGACCACAAGGAAGAAATCGGAAAGTTATTTTGAAGTTAATCCTACATATATATCAGCATCATTTCCCACATGACTTATCAGAACTCAGGATTACATCACTTTTTAAAACAGGATGTGTTTAACTTTTTTACCTTGTGTTGAACATAAATGTAAAGTCTGACACATCATTTACCACACTTATGCATGACCCGCAGCATTTCTAAACCCACACGTAAAGAAACACAGCGGGCCGAGTACGTCTTTCCAACTAGGCCAACACCTGTTCTGCACTTTACTGCACTTCTTCTGAGAATGAAACAGCTTAGATCATTCTCACTGAAAAAACTTCTGTCACCAAGGCTGTGTAATGTCTGTGTGTGTTCGCTGTAAACATCTTGTAAAGAGGACAAGATGTAGTCCTGAGGGGGTTGATTGTAGACTAGCAGCATTTTTCAATATGAATGTTTCAGAGCTACTGGCGGTGGACGGAGGTCTAACTTTAACAAGTCAAATATAAAAAACCTGAAACACAACTACTCATTTAGTTACAGTTGGTATTAGGGCTGCTCAATTAATCGTATTTTAATCGGAATTATGATTTTAGCTTGCAACGATTATGAAAACAACATAATCGAAATAAAACGATTATTTTTTTAATTATTTTTTTTTGTGTTGGTTTTTCAGTTGAATTATACTTCAAGTTCAGGGAAATCAACTGTTCAAAACATACTGTTTAAATGTTTTTTTTCAATAAATGGATGTTTTCAAAGTAAATGGATAATCGTTTTTAATAATCGTGATATCAATTATTGACCCAAATAATCGAGATTATGATTTTTGCCATAATCGAGCAGCCCTAGTTGGTATTTAGTGTGCTTTCTTTAGAGCTTAACAGTCCTACCTGCCACTGCAAGAAATATGTTGTTCTGTATGTCTGTCTTTATGATGTTCCTGTAGGTGCTGATTCCATCTGTGGAGACAAAAATAAAAGAGTGAAATGCTGCAAAAATAAACAACATAACACTTTATGAATAAAACAAGCACACGTGTTAGCTCTGAGCTACAAAACAATGCTGTTGCATGTCTAGAATTCTCATTTCAACACCATAAACTATCCCAGAGAAGTTGCTGTAATTCTTGCTAGTGGCCAACAGAGGCAGATAAAAGTCATAGATAACTCAATGCTGCTTTAATGTTTGTATTAGCAGACTTGGCCACCTGATGGGTGCGGCTGGGCACAATCTCGTGATGTAATGCCTAATATTTCACACGGATCTGTATAGAAGGATCACACAATGTGTGTGGGAAAGGTGGCTTGGCAGAAATGAACACACACAATTGAGTCAAAGAAAGTAGAAAAGTAGGCAACTAGTGCATGCGTGTATATGTGTGCGCGTGCGTGTGGTGTGTGTGTGTGTGTGTGTGTGTGTGTGTGTGTGTGTGTGTGTGTGTGTGTGTGTGTGTGTGTGTGTGTGTGTGTGTGTGTGTGTGTGTGTGTGTGTGTGTGTGTGTGTGTGTGTGTGTGTGTGTGTAATAATAATGTAACTAAAGTATCTTATCTTCTATGTCATTGATTACAAATGACAGCGTTGGAGCTAGCACTTAAAGCTATTTCAACAACAAAAAAAGTTTTCTGTTAAGGGACCAAACCACAAAATAAAGATATTTCTACTGGGACCTACGGAGTGTCTACGGTGACTTAATCCAAATCCAAACTGGATAGGGTTATTTAATTTCTATAATTTCTTTAATGTTCTACCCTAATATTGCAGTGGTAACATCATGTCTGTTATAAATAGTTAATAGTGACTTTCCGGTAGTTGTACACCCATGTATCACTATAAAAACACTTAAACAATTCTATTAATACAACATATTAGATATTATGTGCCATTTTCTTCGGAGTTCTTTTTTTCTGACGCAATTAAACGTTTCACTTCGGTGCGCTCGTGAGCAATTAAAACACCTGCGCAAGCATATTTTAACGTAGCAATTCAAAAGTCCCATACAAAAACAGCATTAACAAGTAAAGAGCAAAAAACGAACTCCCAGCTGTTTCCCACACACATCGTGTTCCTACCTTGTAAAACACAACACAGCAACACCTAACTGCTTCTTAAAAGTCCAAAATCTTGAAAATAATCCAGCCAAACAAGACCTCGTACATCCGAAAAGAGCTGCAAAAAGCCGACTGGAGGTGATGGTGAATTCCGCTGGGGTTGTCAGCAGACAGTACAGAGGAGGAGGAAAAGAAAAGAGACTTCTCAGAGGCAAGTTGCAGAAAAGAAAAGTCCGGCCCCTCAAGTCCTGCCCCCTCCGCTCTCCTGCTGACAGAAATAGCAAGCTAGGCGGGCTCCACCAAAAATAGCCTTGACTTCACACGGACCTTCAGAACTATTGTTTTCCCGCAGCGACTCACTGCCATTGGGTGAACTCTGCAGCCAATCAGCGCTTGGCTTCTTAAAACGTTAACTTGATTCAATTAAAGAAAATGGCCCCTACACTGTGGCTCCATCTGCTGTCAAACCACTCAAAACCACCAACAGCACCAGGCACATGAATGTTGTGCCAAAGGGGGGTCCTGCCACACCTTTGGAGGTCCTTGGAAACAATTGTGAGCAAGTTTGGTTTCACTTTTGTAAGCCCTTGAATGCTCAACTTCTCCTTTTGCACACGGCTCTCTTAAAGTGCTGATATGCAAGCGTTTTTAGTAGAGACATGTTTCCAACGATTACAAACAACCTATACTGTTACACTCAGTGTGTTCACTTTTTAAGGTCGAAACAGTATCTTTTAGACCAGCTCTTTTAACCGGCTCTCACCTCGAAATGTAACGTTCCCATGATGTGTCCATTGTATTGGTTCCTGAGCTTGTGACATTCTAAATAACATAATGCATAAGTCTGAAAGTATGCATATTAAATACTACTCCTAACTGTAATGTAGGTTTTGACAAGAAAATCTCTTAAGGGAGTCACATGTCTACCAAATGTCTAATGTAACCTTTAAAACATTTACATTTTGTTGGGGGCCAACCTTAAAAACAATGAGGAACAACTAAAAAATACTTATATTCTATCCTAAATATTTTGGGAAAGATAATGAGGTTTCTGGCACAAAACCATGTGTCTACAAACCTTTTCTAATTTTAGTGTCCTGCAGTGAACATGTTTTAGTGCCTTTGGTTGTTATCTTGAATGTTTCGGCAATATTTTTTCACTTTAAAGCCTAACCTTATAAGCCTTTTACAACACATTTACCTTTATTATATAGCTGTGTATGCTTCAACTTGTAATAATTTGATTGACAACCGCACTCCGGAACAATGTGTTTATGTCGTCAACAACAACAGAAGAAGAAAACCTGTTGGGAGGGCTTTTGTGAGGAAATACCTTCTGTGGGCCCAGCAACAATGTCATATATTGTTGAGCAGATTATAACAGCTTTACTCCCTACTGTACTCTTCATTCACTGAAAGGCCTACACTACAATACACAACCGTGCAGTTGTAATGCATCAGATTAAAAACTAATTTGCTCATATATTTAGGATAAAGATTATATCAGCATAGAATCAAAGCTATTTAAGTGTGTTATGAAACCAAAACATTCTTCAAAGCAACACATGGGCATTTTTACGCTCTTTGGTTAGCAGATTAGTTTTAAATATTGGAAACCCACAGGGGAATAGCTGTTGTATTGTACAGCAATACGTCTTTTGTTGCTTTTAAATAGGTTTTATCATAATGTATTTTACAGTACCACATCAGCATTGTAGATTTCCTGAAAAATGTTTAATATCCTTACTCAGGGTATATGCAGGAATCCTGAAGTCAAATGTAATACCTTTTAAGACCCTTTCCATACATTTTAAGACCTCATCGCCACTTTAACCGGTTACATTGGCGACACACTTTACCTCACATTGACTATATACAGTATTGATTGTCCTTCCTCCTTATCTTCCAACCATTTGGACGCAGACTTGCATTTCCCCATAAAGATGTTGTTTAACAACCGGCGTAAACGGGCCTTCGCGCGCTATCAAGCAGTGAGCGTGCGATGTCCTGTTCAGATGACGTCCAATCCAACGGGATGCCATAAATAAACTACACAGAATCACACTACACACCTACGCAATGATTACATTCAGGCACACTGTAGAATACAACCTCTTTGGACCATTTATATACTTATTGAAAACAAGCTACAAAATGTAATACTTTGGAAAATGCCGTTTAATACTTTTTAATAGCCCTAATTTTCGCTTAATTGATTTATCAACTTTTAATACTTTTTAAGACCCAGCGGACACCCTGTTACTATACTTTTAAACACACTAACATTATTGTGTTTCCAATTTTCCGCAAATGGAGGTTATGTTGGGTTTTGGTTTGTTGTCAGCTAGATTCAGAAATAAATATAGGTCTTATTTTTTATATAACTTGGTTGAATGACGTAGCAAGAGCCAATAATTAACCAATTACATTTTGGAGAGGATCCTAATAAGAGGGTGGATACATTCATTCATTTATGGTAGCAGCCTTGGCAGAGGTTTGCGTTCTCTCCGAGTGCCTTTTGGTTACCACTGTAAATAATAAACACAGTAAACCTACTTTAACACTAGAACCGCCAGAGATTTTTTTATACCTAAAACCGCCACCGGGGTCAAATTGACCCGGTATTAGAATGCATTGATTTTCAAGGTATTCAAGGTATTCAAGTATTGATTTAAAAATAAAAATGATCCTGTGGTATTGGTATTTTGACAAGCAATTTTGTTAAATTGTTTCGTTTATTAACGCTGCAACATAGCGTTTCGTGAGGCGGTTGTCGTTGTTGGGTGAATATATTATTGCTATAGCAACACGTCATGTTTGTTTACACGCGAAAAGGGGTGGAGTCAATATGACCCGCTGGGCGGAATTTTTTTTTGCGATTTCTTCAATCTGACTTCATATTGACCATTTTTAACAACATAGGGTGCTACATAACACACTTTCAGGAAACGTCACGGACTGGGAGACTTTAATATTTTATTGAAAAAAAGTAAAAAATGATATCACTCTAGAAACAACCTCGCATACAGTATTATACAGTATTATACAGCTAACCAATCAGAGCAGACTGGGCTCTTGTTTCAGACAGAGGGTGAAAAGAGGTGCTGCAGCACAGGCAGTATGAGAAAAATAAAGAGCTTTTTGAACATGTCACAGTGGAGGCATAACATACTTAAATGAACGGGATAATTAGCATAATGAGGACCCTTTAAGTTATAATAGTAATAGCAGTTGGTCATGTGGAAAGAAATTTGAATTGGATGCTTTTCATAATATGGTTATGGTTTTTCCTTTCCTTATCATAAGGACAGACTGGAGGTCAAATACATGTAACACTTTGTTATGTTATACTGGTTGTAACTACTTTGTACGGGCATAAAAGCTAGTTAATTCTCTTCATTTCTCTGACCATGTGCACCATGAGGAAGCAGACCCTCCTGCCTATGAACGTTTTCACACACGTTTTTTTACACACACCTACGGCACATAGGCCTACGTTAATGTTGTATCTTGCATGACGCAGGACCATGGCTTTGTCAGTTTTCTGGTCTATGGCCTTCCTAGAATGATCTGAGTCATGTACATCCTTTATTAACACGTCACATATACCTTAGTAAGGTGAGCATGCTAAAAGTCTCTGTAATGATACACATCTCCAACATAAAATAAAAAATATATATACGTGCTGCAATTCATTCGCAATTATAAAAAAGACGGAAAATGGCTAAAGGCTCAAGTTCGTTGCTACATTCTTAACAAAAGGCCTTTTTATAATCTATTTTGTATTTATCACAGAAGTATTTTTGTTGTCCTCCTCAATCTCGTCCCCTTCTAAAATTAAACTGCACATTTTAAATCATTTGACGCAGAAACCAACATTTGTTACTAGTTTCACTAACACTTTTAAGTGTTTTCCCCCACTTTCAACCGTCTGCTTGTTTCCACGGAACACAAGCATGTTTGTGCGTTTTATCCTTTTTTCCGATCTCGGCATCAGCCAGGTCAATGACTGATGTTTCAGACGAATATTGAAACCACGAAGCATGCGTGTGTGTCTTCTGCTGCTGGTGCTCCATCGTACGCTCGCTCACCCTCGGGTGCCTCTTTGAACAGGGGGGAGCCCAGCGCCGTTCCCAGAAACCCTCAGTGTGTGGGCGCACAAGCTACATAACTGTGTGTGTGTGTGTGTGTGTGTGTGTGTGATAGCTATGTGCCTTGACATAAAGTGTGTGTGTGCAAGATATTTTGTGTGTCTGTATGAGTGTGTGCATGTGCGTGTGTGTGTGTGTGTGTGTGTGTGTGTGTGTGTGTGTGTGTGTGTATGTGTGGTTAGTCCATTCAATTACACAATCTACCATGCAGTCTGAATCACATCCGGTTTCGAGCTGAAAATAACAAAACCACAGGGTGACAGAAAAGCAGCGCAGCAGGCAACCGCCCACAGGAGAGAGGAACACACACACACACACACACACACATACATATACACACACACACACACAGTCTAGGAGCTGGTCAGTACTATCCACAAACTTATATGTTATATACTGTATATAAAAAAAAATCCTCTACAAAGCTTCCTGGGTTCATTTCAACATATTATATTTACATAAAACACAAACATCGAAAATCTAATTTTCATGCACTATGGATTAAGTGGCATGATAAAAAGTAACTCTGCAAAATGTAAATGAGGAACATGTTAATGGCTCACAAGTTATACTTGAGTGATATAATATATCATTCTGAAAATGACCATTCTGCATAATGAGTTTTGGTACTTAAAGTATACTTAAAGCCACACATTAATACATGGTCTAGGACATTTTAAATCGGCATTATACAGTTTGAGTCGCCGTTCAGTCTATTTATTTAGGTGGTTATGTTGTTTTTTACATTCATTGTCATTTCCACACAGAACTAACAACAGTGCAGCTGCCACCATTGGCAGATATTTTGTATTTTGGGCTTCACTAACAACCCTTAGTAATCAAACCCTTACCCCCGAATATACTAAAAACATAAAAGTACTAAATGTTATCCGAAACTGAGAAAAGGTGTATTTCAGAATCACAAACACATTTTTGGCTTGATTTTCATGATCTTGGAAGAAGGGTGAAGGGCGAAGGAACACACCAATTTGGAGCAAATCTGTATGAATTGGCAAACAAACGCACAATTTCTACCCTGTAGAAATGCTTTTTTAGGCAAATTAATATTGGCAGTAGTCAACTGTGACAAAAATGTAGTTATTTGACATATTGATTGAGTATTTTTATTTGATGGTACT